TTCCCAGCTGGAAGCCAGGTGCCTTGAGGAGGCTTTCATTATATTGGAGCCTCGGTGCTAACTCGAGGAGCTCTCAGGCCTTGAACCCCTGCTTCAGTGTTATCACCCCTCCTTCTGGTCCTAACAGTGAGAAGCTTCTGGAAAAGCTTGAAGTCACACTAGGTCCCTCTTCTGTGCGCAGTTCTCCGTGGCTACCAACGACCTAAGGACCAAGGAAGAACTCTCCGTCGTGCCATGGCAGCGTTAACACGCCGCATCACTCGACCCTCCTCGACAGGACACACGCCGGGTCAGGCGTAGTTTCCCGCTCCACCTCATTCACGAGCCCCGACCGGGCTGGACAGAGCCTGGCCTGCGGCACCGGGCAGAGCCCCTCATTCGGACACTGTGGGGAGGCGAGCACAGCGCGGCGGGGAGGACCACTTACCCGAGCGGGGCCGGCTTCGGCCATGGGCCTCTGCGCGTGCGACGGGGACACGGACAAAGTGGCCACCGCCCCTCGGACCCCTCCGTACGCCAGCCCAGCCTGGTCGCTTCCCGGAGGACAAAGCTCCGACAGCTCCCACAGATCCAAACACCCCTAAGTCCAGCGCCGGCGGAGCCACGCCGGAAGTCCCGCCCACACAATGGCCCACGCCGGAAACACTCCTCTCTGGGCGCTCATTGGCTTAGCGGCTCCCTGGGGCAGGGCATTCTGGGTAACGTAGTGCCCAGTGCTCCAGGGAGACCTGCGAGCGGGAGGAGTTGGGGTGCTCTGCATTCAGCATGCGCTCTGCAGGCGAGAACTAGGCTTGAGCCTGCGGGGAGGACTTGAATACCGATGGAGCAGCAGGACAAGCCTTCTGGGCTAGCCCTGGCGATAACGGTGGGGACTTGGCCTCTGCTGCTACCGCTGGTTACAGCTTGCAGGGACCGTCTTCTAGGCCCGTGTGTGTTCCCATGCTTCCTGCCTGCCCTCTGTTCTGAGATGGTTGCTCCTCTGCAAGGCCTTCTAACCCGTCTCCCCACTGTTCATGGCAACTCATTATGCCCTTCCTCTCTGTCCCCTTGGAGGTGCCAGCTCAAATCACACATGGCAAGCATGTCTGCACACCTGTTAGCAGAGAGGCAGCCTGATAAAGCAGGTTGCAGGCTTTTCCTTACTAGCAGCCTGAGAAAACGGGATGCAGACTGTCTATACCATATAATAGCCAGGAAAAGCAGAAGATAGACTCTCTCCCATTTCTGTACCTTGAGCCCCCAAGTAAGTTGTTACAATATATCTTTTTAAATTTATTTTTTCAGAGATGATATTACATAAGATACCTTAAGGATAATGCACAAGTGACCAAAAGATGAAATTTACTTCATTATTGTTAGGTGCAGGACAGGCTGAGTAAGGTGTCTGCAGGGCATGCCAAACAAAGTTAGCTGCAGGATGACCTGGCCGCTTAAACCCTCTGTCTGGTTCTTTATCACCTGTTTGCTTCAAGCCCAAACGCTCAAGCCCCTGCTCAAGGCTGAGCGCTTCGCCCCCTTGTGTGCCAACAAGGCAGCTTGCCAACCCAGAGACCCTGTTAGATTTAGGCAGCACAGCAGAAGGGCTATAAAAGCCTTCCCCAGCTGCCCCCTCCCACTTCTTTCCTTCTTTCTTTTCTCCTCTGTTGCACTGCTGCAATAAAGATCTCTTGGTTGCTCCGAGTGTTGTGGTCACTTGTCTTTCAATTATAATACCAAAATCTTTACCTGAGCAAGAGCTGGAGCTCATTTCCATAACAAGGGACACAGGAAGGGGCACATTATTAGACTGTACCTGTGTAGGATTGTCCCTGCACTGTGCACATGATGAGCACCTTCCCTTTTCTGAATATGCATTCCCTGCCCAAATAAACTGCAGCTCCCCCTGAGGTGATTTTCTGAGGGGTATCCTTATTTTCTGCAAATAAACTTTATTCTGTGACAACTATTCTTGGTGTTCTGTTCTGATTCAGATCCCAGGGAGACAGAACCATTGAGTTCAGTGGCACAGCAGGTGAAGAACAAGCAGAATGTCTTGGGTAACACAGGAGATTAAGGATAGCCTCTTTCAGAAAACCCACTCTGTGAGGTGCCCACAAGACCCTTGTTTCTAGGATTCAGTAATTAGTGGTCATATAAAAGAAAGGTAGCAAACAACAAACCAAACAAGTTGAAAAGAACATAAAAATAATGTTAAAGAAGGGTGAAGATCTTACAAAGTCAATATGCATTCAATGCAGGATGTGGTCTACATTGAGAGAAACAGATTTTGGAATACAGTAAGAAATACACATTCAAGGGAGAAGGTCTGCCATCTTCAGAGGGATAGACAACCATAACCAAAGTTTTTTTCTTTTTTAACTCTCTTTTTCAAGTCAATTTGTCTGAGTGTACTTTTAATGTGCAGATAGACCTTCCACCTAAGGGAGCCATTTCCTTTGATCAAAATTCTATGTACCATAAAATGAGGGATGGTTTATATGATCCAAAGGCCAACACAATCCTTCAAATTGTAGAAACTAGCCCATACTAAACTTGTCATCCTTGCCTACCTTGATTTTGTCTAGAAAACCCATTAGAGGCTCTGGACCTGTCCTTTACCTGCTCTTGTTTTTGCCTTCAGACCCCTCTTGTGATTCCTTAGACATGAACCCAATTTGAGCCTAAATTACCATACACCCTCTTCTAACAAGTGACTGCACATCATTCTGTTGCTGCTTGGCCTTTTTACTAATGGTCTGGGTGCATTCCATGGTTTATCATTTGGAGTCCCAAATTCCTCAAGTAACTTACTGTTTAAACCAACCATGAGAGCTACATTATTCTGACTATGTATCAAGAACACTGAAACTCCATGTTCCTGATGCCATTTCCCCAGTCTAAGGCTTCATTGTTGAAGGTAATGTTGCCCTTTACACTATAAATAACACTACCCTGAACATTAAAGCCTCCACTCCAAGGGATTTTCCTGGTCTGCCTTTCTATGCATGAATTGAACACAGTAAATATTTGCTGTCTGTCTTTGATGCCAGGGATTCTATTGTGTTTCTGAGCTTACTGTGTGCTTAGCAATACTCTGATTATGCTATTTTCTCTGTGACTGTAGTCCTCCAGAATTGCAAAATGACCTCTTGCCTACATGACACACCATGATCATTCCTTCCCCTTGATTAACACAAATACCAGTAATCTTTATATATATATATATATGTTCATAAATTGTCGGTTTATATCTTCTAACCACATATAAGATGGACCTGCCAGTTTGACCCTAGAGATGCACCAAGAAACTATTATATATCTCATTCCAACTTTACCAACACATTGAGAGAGATTTCAGCAACTTTAGATGCATTTTCTTTTATAATGCCATATTAATATGGACTCTAGTTATAGGATAATCTACAAGGACTCCATATAGATTTAGTGTTCATCCTTTTTCACTCAACGGAAAGTGTTTATTATGCTGATTACAGAAACTGTGACCTATTCTTTAAAGTCCCCCATTATCATTTTTCCCAGTGTTTCCAATAAATGAATTCATACAACCACACAAACAATTATTCAGTGTTTTCTTAAGTTCTGTGCTTCTCTGTTAGGTGCCCATTAATCAGAGGAATGAACTAAAGGCTATTCTGCTGTCTCAGGAAAGTTAGCTACTATGGAGCTGCTTTTCATGTGCAGACTGCTGATCCAGGGCCATGGCTCCACCCACATTGTTGTCTAATTCTCACACAGCAAGCCAATATTAGAGCAAGCCAAGTTGCTCTAAATCAACCCAGGGTCAAGAACCAGACAACTACAGAGAGCTCCAAACCCCAACACCTATGCAAGTGGTCAAACCATCTGTCATTACTCTATCACTCCTGAAGAATAGCCTAAATCGTGTGGCCTGGGAATTCCCTTTCCTCTCCTACATCTCCTCTGCCCACCTGGTTATCAGACATGGAGGTGTGTACAAGGTGTGCAGTGTCATGGACTATAGTTAGGCTGTAATGCTCACCTTGCAACATGCCAACAAAATATTGCAGGAACAACAACAACAAAACAAGAGCTCAGGAGTGAATGGGGTCTCTCTAAGACATCACTGGTCCTGCTGTTAGTAATTGCAGCTATGTAAGGATGGGTATGAATTCTGAAGCTTTCTAGCAATCACATAAACCAGCTCAAAAAAGGAAGGAATACCAGTGGAG